AAAAAAAAAAAATCCGACAGGCTGGAAGCTTCAACCTGTCCAGCGTCTCCACAGCTGTTCATGTGCAGCACGTCTGGTTCTTTCTGGTCTCTCGCTGTCCAGGCTGTGCACAGAAGTGCATGCCGCGAGGTCGGCGCTCACAGGGAACCAGGACGACTGAAAATGAAGCAGAAATTAGAAAAATCTGAGCAGAACGTGATCGAGAATTCTACGAACACCAGGTTGGATATGCCCGTGCAGAGGAGCCTCACCTGCTGGGGGGGTCCCCGTTAGACAGGCCGCAGCCTGTAGCGGAAGCGGACATCTTCAGCTGGTAGCATGACTCCCAGGCCGGCTCTGCTGAGGTCCAAGGTGGCTTTGCTCTGGCCCTCCTCCAACTCCAGGTCCAAGTAAAGCAGGATCACGGACAGGAACTGTTTGATCTCATTGATTGCGAAGAAACGTCCGGGACACTTGCTGGCACCTGAGCCGAAAGGCATGAGGTAATGCTTGAGCTTCTGGCCACGCTTGTAGAAGTTGGTCTTCTTCTGGCCGTTCTGCACGTAGCGGTCGAACCGGAACGTCTGACGGCACAGAGAGAAGAACGACAGCGTGACGAACAACAGTCAAACGTGGCATCCCTTCACTTCAAATGACTGTTACAGCTTCGGCTATGAGCCCTGAGAGGAAGAAACCACCGACTTAATAAACCTGGGCTCAGATGGAGCCCTGCCACAGAATGATGACCTTTCACCCCGTCACTCCTGGGACAGGCTGAGGTGCTGATAAGCTGGAAAGCGGAAGAAAAATGGATGGAAGATGGAGTTTGACTAAAATGCCTACAGATGGCAGTATTGTTCCCTGTGCTGCTTTAATAACCCATCATTTCCCCCAACAGCAGATAATCAGTCTGTGTGGATTTCAAAGGTTTCCAGACTTTCCTCTTAATTTGGAGTTGATCACATGACTGGATGAAAACACCTTAAAGTTACACAAAAACCAGAACTGTGATTCTGCAGGGATTCAAGGCTTCAGGGGTAACAGCCCCTCTGAA